TGAGCGCAGCAGGGCCCCACAGAACGTCAGTGACACCAGACCAGAGCAACCCCTGGCCCTCCGCTGATTCTGGGACAGTGACCAAGAGCCCAACCTCGCCCCATCACCATATGGACCAAGAAGGCAGTCACCAGGGAAACAGGGCTATGAGTCCCCTGAAGGACAGGTGGCCCAGCATGGGTTGAGAAGGTCGCCAGAGGCAGGAGAGGTATCAGGCTGAGCATCCCAAGACAGGGGAGGGAGGTGTAGGGGGTGGGGGTGGGGTGGGGGGAGTGAAGGCTGGTGAGACTTAAGAAGCACAGAGGAAAGGAATGGCCTGGCTAGCTCAGGAGCCTTCAGCTACGTGTGTAGAGTCCACAGATGGGGCTGGAGCCTTTCTTGCCCGGGCATGCTGGAGTGAGCCCAGGCAGCCTCAGGCTCCACAGGTGGCTGAGGCTGTCTGCACTTAAGATGAGTGGTGATAGCCCTGCTTGGTTGCTGTGCAAGGAGGCTCTGTTTTATGCCTGCTGTTGCCTCAGTGTCCTGAGCCTTTCTCTACCCTCAAGGACACCTGCTGGTCCTCAGGGTCTCTTGGAGCTGCGTTGTCAGGCATTTCCTGGGAGAAGACAGACATGTGTCCCTAGGAGAAAGGATTGCTTCCATGCCTAGGAGGAAGGCTATGGGCTCCAGGCAAGCTGGGAAGCACCCAATGCCAGGCTCACATACATCCTGGTGGCTTGGTGTCAGGGCAGGCAGCCTTGGTGACCAGCCAGGGCAATCACTGGCCCTGCTGGAGGTGAGCACAACTCACAATGTTCCTCGGCAGCCTCAGCTTGCTTCCGACCCTCTTCTCTCTGGACTAGGGTGTGAGAAGGGAGTAGGCTGGTCCACATCTCAGCCCTGAGACTTGTCTAGGAATCTCGGGGCTAGGGCATAACTTCCTTATGTCTGGGAGATGTTCCCTATATCAAATGTCGACAGTCTCCATGTTTTACCTGGCTCTGAACAAAACCAGCCATTCAGTGGTGCTTAATAAATGCCCTGTAAGTGACTGGGTTCAGACCATGCATCCCCTCAGCCCAGACACCTCTGCCCTTCACTGGACCTCAGTTTCCCCTTAGGTCCCAGACTTCATCTAGTGCTTCACCTAAGCTTCTGAGACCCCTGGGGGTAGGGAGGTTGACTGGAAACTTGTTGGCGAGGGCTTTGAGGAGGACACTGTGGCCAAGCCAGGAAGGGAGACAGCCCAACCCATGCCACCATCTCCAGGCTTGGGAATGGCTGCCATGTGAGCACTGGGAGGCCTACCCCCACCCTGACCCCTGCAGCTGTTGGCCCATCACTTGATGCCTACAAGAGCTTTTTCCCAGTGACAAAATTTGAGCCTGAGTAAAGTTCTTTTTTTCTGATTTTTCATCTGTAGAAAAGATGACAAACCCAGAAAAGTATACATTTTTTTCAATTACCCAGCATCCCACCACCCAGGCGTAACAGATGAGCATTTCTTTTCTTCTGTGATGGCCCGTGCAATGAGTCTTTTAAACGGCGCCGTGCAGTTCTCGGCATGTCTGCCTTTTCCTAAACCCCTCTTTGAAAGCCTGGTTTCTGGGCCAGCCAGGAGCTTCTGTGGGTGTAACTGGCCCACCTCAGTGGCTGTTTGACCATACCTCAGCCCTGAGCATGCCTGCCATGTCCCCTCAATTGCATGTGTCAGGCCTGAGCAGGAAGGTTCCAGGTGGGCCATGGCCCTGTGGCTGGCACATGTGTGGCATTGTCCTCCAGCAGGGCGGCGCCAGAGCTGCGCAGCACCAGAGCAAGGCGGAGCCAAAGCAGGTTGGAGCCACAGCAGGGAGGAGTCAGACCTATATTCTTTTTTATACCCACCCACTGTCCAGCCCAGCCCAGCCACAGAGGGGGGAGGGTTGATGAACAAGCTCCCAGCAGCGGGTGAAGAGACACCTAGTGTCCTCAGACCCCGAAGCCCAAAGGACCCTCATGTGGCCAATATAGCTTCCCTGAAGAGAGGGGCTGCTTGCACCTCCTTTCCCCTATGACCAGAAAGGCTTGCTCAGGAGGAACATAGTCTGCCAAAACTCAGCCCCAGTACAGGACAGAGAGACAGAGCAGGAGCGACGGTAGAGTTTCTTCCTATAGCCTTAATGAGGCTGAGATAGAAGATTCAGGCCTGTGGGTAGGAACAGAACCCCCCAAATAAGCCCAGCTGATGACCAAAGAACCCTACCCCAGGAGGACTCCATGTCACTAATGAGCTCAGACCCTCCGGAGCCACCAGCAGGGGCTGTCAGACGCTCAGCTCCCCCTCGACAGCGCTGCCCTCTTGTCTCTTGGCCCCAGCCAGGGCCTGCAGCCGCATGCTGTGCCCCCACATGTTCTGAGCAGCTCTGTCCTCTTCGCCCACAGGCTGCACAGCCCCTGGGTGCCCTCGTGCCTCGGGCAGCCCCGAGTCCTGCAGGGCCGCCTGGCCAGGTCCTTACCCTCGCTCTGGGACAGGTAACACACCTGCTGTCTCCACCCTGCACCCCCAACTCCTTGGTGTCTCTTTGTCTGTCCCAGGACTTGTGTCCCATGTCTGCGTCCAGCTCCCCAGGACAGACAGGCTCAGAAAAAGTCTCTTGGCTCCCAGCACATTGTCCCAATGGCCCAGCTCCATCTTTGGGCTCCTGTGATTGGCCAGAGGCCTTACAGAAGGAGAACGTGTCCTTCAGGACCCTTTTTGAACCATGGGGCCAGCACTCTAATGTCTGCCTAGGTCTTTCAGGGGGTGAGGAGAGGACCAAGACCCAGCACAGCGCAGCTGTCCTTCCCTCACTAGGACACAACCAAAGAGAGGCCACTATCATCACCACTGGGGAGGGGGAGGCTCTGGCTGCTCCCAGTTCCTCAGCGCCCCTTCCCGTGAACAGGCTGTTTCCATGGCTGCCCTTGATGACTTGATGGACTGTGACCTGGAAACTAAAATAAGCTTCCTTCCCCCTAGCCCCCCCCCCCAACAAAAAGAAGACAAGGCTATGTCTGGGTGCCAGGAAAGCCTGACCCAGCTGCTGCACCTAGCCAGCCATATCCTAGTCCCTCAGGAGCACGGGAGCCTCCCACTGACCTTAGTCTCCCAGTGGCCTGGCAGCCCCACTCCCACACAGTGATGCCTCCCATTGTGTCAGGTGCCCAGTGTAGGTACCAGTGACTGCCATGCTCATATATAGATATGGATACGGATATGCCACTCTGAGGCCCTGGGAGAGGTCCAGTTCGCCTGTGGGAGGTTAGGACAGTAGATGGAGATGGTGGCAGACTCTAGTCTTCCCTGTCCAGGAGCATCTGGCCCCAAGGCATGGCCAGATGTGAGGGAGAGTCAAGAAGGAGTTGCCATGGCCCTCTCCAGGTTTTGGGGCTCTGAAGGCAGGCTGGAAGCAATGGGACACAGACTGGCAGGTGGAGCCCAAGAAAGTGCGGGGTGCGGCAGGCGGGGACATGGCTCAGTGGCGGGGCCAGGCCAGACAAAGGCCTGCAGGTAGGATGGTGGCAGATGTAAGGGAGAAAATCCCCATGGAAACAGCACCAGGAATGGCCGAGGACTGACAGTGAGTGTCCGGGTCAGAGCCTGGGTGATGCAGTCCCTGGAGATCAGCAGCTGGACTTCTGTTGGCCAACAGCTGTCCTGAAAGGGTAGGTGGCTGTGATGGCTGGGGAACAGAGGCAGAAAGAGCTGTTGGACCAGTGAGTCGCCCATGTCTAGAAGTCCACTAGATGCTCAGGGTAAACTAAGGCTCTGTGTGGAGCAGCACTTCTTGCTGGGTCCCAGTTCTGCGTGGAATGCACCACGGAGCTCCTTTCGCTTTCCGTGAGTCTGCTCCTGCTGTTTCTCTAAGTGGGGGAGAGGAAGACGGGGTGACTCTGGCTGGGTCTTTCCCAGCATGGGCAGGGTTCGAACTGAGTAGAGATAGGTGGCTGAAGGCAGGTGGGTTAGGCTGCCTCATAGACCATAGAAAGGGTCAAAGCCGAGTGCAGGGACTAACAGGATGCAGGCACAGCCTCTGAAGAGCTCATCCTGGAGGTGGGAAGAGAGCCAGGAGTCAGGGTGAGAGGGCCACCCCTGCAGATGGTCAATGCCCTCGCCTGTTCCCAAGGGCACAGCCCCTTCCTGCAGTCTGTCAGGCTACAGTCAGGAGCCCCTACAAGGGACCCCCCACCTCCTGGGCTACTGCCTACTGCAAGTCTGCTTTGGATGAAGTGGGTGCTCCAGGAAGCTTGCCACACCTTACAAGGGAGGGGAGGCCAGAATAGTGGCTGCCTGGGGTGGGCTGGTGCAAGCCCAGTGGGCTGCCTGGAGGTGAGCAGCATATAGACAGCCGGGCAAGGGAACAGAACACCTGGCAGCTGGGCCTGTGTGGGCAGCAGCGGCTTGTGTCTGGGTTTCCCTCGCTACTTTGGATTCTCTTTGGGGGACTGCCTGTCAGGAGGACCCGCCTCCTTCCCTCAGGCCCAGGCAGGAATCCAGGAATGCCTAATGGGGGTGGCTGGTACTGTGCCTGTGACACATGTAGCTTACTTACAGGGTTGTGGACACCTCTGATGGGCACGCCTGCCCACCTCGCTGGGTTCTGAGCCAGGGAGGTCCCCAGAACGTCAGGTCCCACAGCACGGTTAGGTGCTCCCAGCACCTGCCAGGCCCTGCCCCCCCCCCCAGGTTTCCAACATGGCGCCTGAACTTCCCCCCTGCCTCCACCTTACAGCAAGTTCACTAGACGTCACCACCCTCCTGGGTGCGGGGGCTTGGGTGGGAACAGCACAGAGGCCTGACCCCCTGAGGGGACACGAGTGCTGGCACAGCCGCTGTGGGGGTGTAGGGGCCGCAGGGGGCAGGGACTATCCCGAGTGTACTCGTGCAAGGAGTAGTCGTGTTTAGGGCACAGTATATGCCCACACTTGCCCTTCTGGCCAGAGTGTCCTCAGTTTCCCCACGCTCAGTGCCACAGCCTGGTCAGCTGCCTGGTGTCTTACAGCGCCCTGCAGGAACAGAAGGGCGAGCTGCGCAAGCGGCTGTCCTACACCACACACAAGCTGGAGAAACTAGAAACGGAGTTTGACTCCACACGTCACTACCTGGAGATTGAGCTGAGACGTGCGCAGGAGGAGCTGGACAAGGTCACGGAGAAACTGCGCAGGTGAGGATGGGGCCATGATGGGTGGAGAGGAGCAGCTGGATCGTCGTGGCCCCAGGTCTGGGGGTGTTTGGCGCAGCCTGCAGAACCCAGAACAGAGCAGCCTGCCCGGGGCCACTGATACCAGTGATAGGCTTTTTCAGTGGCCTCTTCCAGACCTGGCTCCTCACCCCCTCACACATGCTCTGCTCTGACTTTGGACAGGCCAGAGACAACAAGGAAGAAGCCACTTCCAGACCCCACCCCACAAAAGCTCCTGAGCCAAACTTAAATATAGGTGCTGCATCCTGGAGTGGCCTTGGGGCTCAGGATGTATTGAGAGGAGGGCGATTCTTAAAATATTCTCCTTGTGTGCACTTATTTGTCTAAAGCCTGTTGTGGGCATCCCCAGCTTAGAAGCACAAAGACGATGCAGGCTGCTGTCAGCTGAGTTTGTTTTAAATATTTAGGGTAGCAGCTGGTGCAGTCCTGAGGGCATCTTGTCCCTCTTTGAATGGCCCCATTCTTCTGGGTTTCTGAACGCCACCACCAAGCTGTGTGGAAGCCAAGCTCGGGCAGTGCAGCCAGACCCTGGTTAAAGTCCCAGCCCTGCCATTTAACTGCTCTAAAGCATCTTTTTGTGTCCATTTCCCACTGGCAAGAAATACTGCAAAGGTTGCCTAGAGGACACACGGCCACCATACCCAATCCCCCAGCCACCAGCAATAGAAGTCCAAAGCAGATTGCTCCATCTCTACCTGCTCTTCCAGGTGGAACCATGCCTTGGTCACTGGCACTGAAACCCAGGGCTTCACATACATGTGTCCAGCACATGGGTGTGCAGTTGACCTGTAAACCACGGTGTCAGCTTCCAAGGCTCTTGCGGATATGCCTTCCCACGTTCTCTCCGAGGAGCCCTTCTGTGAGTAGGAGGAGCAATGAGGCTTTGACCGTGGCCTCGGAGAAGCCCTGACAGAAGTTAGCTTTGATCAGATCTTAAGCACAGACATTGACTCAGGTAGAGCCAGCAGGACAAGCTCTGGTGCCTGGCAGCCATGTTAGGAAGGACATGATGGCCGTGAGGTTGCTGGGGTTGTAGGAAGGCCAGGCCTTGCAAGCCGTGACCCTGTCACTTCCTGCTGCAGGATTCAGAGCAACTACATGGCGCTGCAGAGGATCAACCAGGAGCTGGAAGACAAGCTGTACCGGATGGTGAGGCCCCAGCACACATCCCCTCTCTTGGAGTGGCCCCTCAGGGATTAAAATGAAGTGGAGTCCAGGGCAGCCAGGCCTGTGCAGGCAGCACAGAGGATGGCCATAAGGCCCCGGCACCTCCCCTATATTAGGATGAGGAGGTCCCCACTTATTCTTATTTGGTGACATGTGTTCAGCTTCTTGCCTGTCTTCAAGCTGAGACTAGAAGGTGCAGGACAAGTAGAGGCTGGGCCGTGCTGAGCATCACTTTCCCAACTCACTGAGTGAGATGGGCAGGGCAAGCTGTACTCCCCACCTTAAAACTAGGACATAAGGACCAGGTACCTGAGGCTCAGTGGGACTGACTGGCCTAGGCTGGTCCAGCTTGTCAGTAGTGGGATGGGATTAAACCTGGTTCAGTTTGTGCCTTTAATAACCCTGCACCATTATCATTCTGAGCACCCTGTTATCAACAGCTATTAGGTGGACAAAAAGCCTTGACCCAACAGCTGGGCAATGGCACCAAGCACTGACCACTCCTTCCTCTGTCCCCATTAACCAGGGCCAGCACTATGAGGAAGAGAAACGCGCGATGAGCCATGAGATTGTCGCCCTCAACAGCCACCTGCTGGAGGCCAAGGTGACCATTGACAAGCTGTCGGAGGACAACGTGAGTACCGTGTGCGTTTGGCCCCTGGAGGAATGTGGCAGGTGTTGCAGATTTGAAGAACAAATAAGGAAAACAGACGGTTAATTGAACAGCCAACAGTTGTGTTAGTTTCACTAGAGTTACATCGCTTGTGATTTGGAGACTTGATACTCATTGGCAGGGAGGTCCCAAGCAGACCAGCTCAATCAAGGAGCCCAGCCCTAGTGTGCATGTCTTTCCAAGGTCACCTGCTTCTCCAAGTGGCATCTCCTGCTTACTTCAGCCGACCTGGCTGTGCAGCACCCACAGCCTTCTGGTTCCCATGACAGTTGCCGCGGGGTCTTAGGGGGACTGACTTTCAGCTGTTCCTAGGAAGTTCATCGAGGAGTTGGGAGGGGCTGGAAGACCCAGTTTCCCTCCCTGGTGCAGGCCTGGTGCAGAGGCGGGGTGGGAGAGGGCAGCTCAGGACACAGAGCCTGGTTGAGCGGAGCTGTGGCAGCAGTCCTGGGCCCTTTGCAGATGCAGGTGGGTCCTAGGCCAGCTGTGGTTTCTGGAGAGCAAGAAGGGACAGTCCAACACAGGCACATGCAGCAGAGATTTGCTTCCAAAGCAGAAAGCACGCCCTCATTCCTACTGTTTGCATCTGTTTTCAGCTCAGGAGGCTGAGCAGGGTCCAACCTGCTCTTGGGGTCACATACTTGCCCTGAGCCCGGCCCAGCCCCAAGGCCAGGCAAAACCATCAAGTGTGTTGAGCCACAAGTGGGAGACCAGAGTGGGAGGGCTGGCGTCCAGCCCTGTCCCTGACTTGTGTGCCCACCACTTCCACCAAGTCATCTTTGGAGGGTCTCCAGGAGCTACAGGAACAGGAACCCCGGACCTGGTGGGCCAGCCAGCCTGCCAGCCTCAGGGAGCTCAGAGCCAATGGGGGCTCAGCGGCTGCTCTCCCAGCCTGTGGAGGGCTGTTGACACACCAGCAAGTCCAAGCAGGCCCTTGAGTGTGGTGACAGTGTGGAACTCGGGCAGGGCCTGGCAAGAACTGGCCACCCTGCCTGCTCTGTTCTCCCTTCCTATTGCCCTGTTGACACTGGGCACTGGCCAGGGCGGCTGTGCCAACCCCCTTCTCTTGTCTTCCAGGAGCTCTATAGGAAGGACTGCAATCTAGCGGCCCAGCTGCTGCAGTGCAGCCAGACCTACGGCAGGGGCCATAAGGTGTCCGAGGTAACGTGGCCCCACCCCACAGCCAGGCCCGCCCCGTCCCAGGACCACCCGGCTCCTTTTGGGCCACCCCACCCCGAAGCCTCTCCCCACCCTCCAGGAAGAAGCTACCCGGTGAGCCTGAACCCTCGTCCCTCGTGCACCTGGGTCCTGGCTTCCTGATGGTGAAAGGTGCCCCCATGCACTGCACTTCCCAGAGGCACCCTTGGGCTACACACCTATTTCCTTTGGGGGCTGCCCCTTGTCCCTGGATGTGACCCTTCAGTGTAGCTCCCATGAGGCCTGGTTACAATCAGAGATAGGCCCACACCAGAGAAAAGACACAGACATCAAGGACAGGACCTCCATGGAAGGCACACTGAGTGAGCTGACAGCAGAGCCCGATCAAGTACTAGGCTGCCTGGTACCAAACTGAACTAGACAGAGCCCCCCCTGCCCATCTGTGACCATCCTGGCCAGACTGTCCATCCCAGCCCACATGTACAAGCACTCTCCTACCCAGCCCCTTGTCCACGTCCCCTTTCCCTGGACCTGGCCGAACCTGCAACACTCACAAAACAGATCAAACAGTAGCGCGACACCCCCTCCCACCGGCCCCCACAGAAGTCACCCCTCACTAGCCAGAAAGGGAACTGGAGCCCAGCTAGCCAGGTTCCAGCTTCTCTAGGCCCACCAACACCTCTGCCGGGTGGGTGGGTAGAGGTGATGGGGACACCTTGTCCTTGGGAGTTCAGTTTGCTCCCACCGGTGTAAGGTGAGACGCCTGGCGGGTTGCTGTCGTCGGTCCGTCGGTCCGTCTGTTTGTCTGTCGGTGATGCTGGCCTGGCCCTGGCCTCAGGGCCAGGGCTGAGCCGCTTTGCTGACTATGACCTGTCTCCGTTCTCCTCTCCTCCCCACGCCCGTTGCAGCTGCCCTCAGACTTCCAGCAGCGCGTGAGCCTGCACATGGAGAAGCACGGCCGCAGCCTGCCTTCCCAACGCTGCCGTCCGTCCTACGCCGACAGCGTGCCCACCTGCGTCATCGCCAAGGTGCTGGAGAAGCCCGAGCCTGGCAGCCTGTCCTCCTCGCGCATGTCGGATGCCTCGGCCTGTGACCTGGCCTTCCGTGATGGAGTGGAGAAGTCGGGCGCACGGGCCGCGTACAAGGAAGATCTCTACTGCAGCGACACCGCGCTCTACTGCCCGGAAGAGCGCCAGCATAACCGGCGGCCCAGCGTGGACACCCCGGTGTCCGACGTGGGCTTCCTGCAGGTGCAGAATTCCACCGACAGCGCAGCGGAAGACGAGGAGGAGGCCGAGGCGTCGGCCTTCCCGGAGGCCTACCGCCATGAGGCCTACCCGGGCTACGCGGCCTCGCTGCCCACATCCAGCTCCTACTCCAGCTTCAGCGCCACATCCGAGGAGAAGGAGCACGCGCAGGCCGGCACGCTGGCCGCCCCGCAGCAGGCGGTCTACCTGAATAGCCGCGGCGAGGAGCTCTTCGGCCGCAGGCTGCCCCCCGGCGCCTATGGGAGCAGCCCTCGCTTCAACAAGGCCGCGGCCACCCTGGCCTCCCCAATGGAGGCCCAGGTCGCCCCAGGCTTCGCTCGGACTGTGTCTCCGTACCCGGCCGAGTCCTACCGCTTCCCGACCTCCCCAGGTCCGCAGCAGGCTCTGATGCCCCCAAACCTGTGGAGCCTGAGGGCCAAGCCGAGCGGTAGCCGCCTCGCCGGGGAGGACATACGAGGTCAGTGGCGGCCCCTGAGCGTGGAGGATGTGGGCGCCTACCCGTACCAGGCGGGCAACGCAGGCCGCGCCTCGCCCTGCAACTTCGCAGAACGTTTCTATGGCGCCGCCGGTGGCGGCGGTGGCAGTGGCGGTGGCAGTGGCAGTGGCAGTGGCGGCGGCAGCAGCCCCGGCAGTAAGGCCGAGGGCCGCGCGAGCCCCCTCTATGCCAGCTACAAGGCTGATAGTTTCTCGGAGGGCGATGACCTCTCCCAGGGTCATCTGGCCGAGCCCTGCTTCCTCCGAAGCAGTGATCTGAGCCTCAGCCCTAGCCGCTCGGCTGACGCTCTCCCTGGCTACGAAGCCAGTGATGGGGAGGGGGAGAGGCTTGGGGTGCAGCTGTGCGGGGCTGGCAGCAGCCCTGAGGCCGAGCACGGCTCCCTGGAGCCCAGCTCCATGGAGGCTTCTCCTGAGATGCGCCGCCTCAGCCCCCAGCAGGCCTTCCCAAGGACTGGAGGTGCCGGGCTGAGCCGCAAGGACAGCCTCACTAAGGCCCAGCTCTACGGAACCTTGCTCAACTGACTGCCCTCAGCAGGCAGCAGTCAGGGGCCCCCATCTATCCTAACCCACGTAGGGAGTAGCCGACCCCCACGTCCAAGCCCCTGCCAAGGAATTCCGGTTCCAGTTCCTGCCGTCCCCGTAATACCACCCCAGTGAGACCTTAAAGTAAACACCCCAGTGAGACCTTAAAGTAAGCCCCTCTGCTTTCGTCTTGTCCACCCCAGCTTCTGCTGCAAACCCCGCCCCGAACAGTTATGCGCTGCGCCCTCCCCTGAAGTGAGCATCCCTGTTTTATAAGTGAAACGATTTTTTTGTAGGGAAAAGGGTGTTTCTTCAAGCGCTTGCTTGCCGTCAGCTTCTGGATGGCAGCCATGGGAGTCCCCACAGGAAGCTCCTTCATTTCCAGTGAGGGTTGGGGGGCCTATCCCCGGGGAAAGGAAGGCTGGGGTCCCTAGAGGGACCAGTCTCCACAAGTGGGGAGAAACCAACAAGGGAACCCTGAAGTTCTGTCCACGGAGGAGGGGAACCAAAGCCACTTTAGGGCGCAGAAAATGTCTTTTCGCACCCCGTCTTATAGTGCAGCCAGCACCCTGCCCCGATCAACGCCGTCTATAGTGCAGCCAGAACCCCGCCGAGATCTACCCCGTCTTACAGTGCAGCCAGCACCCTGTCCTGATCCACGCAGTCTATAGTGCAGCCAGCACCCTGCCCTGATCTACCCCGTCTTACAGTGCAGCCAGCACCCTGCCCTGATCCACGCCGTCTATAGTGCAGCCAGAACCCTGCCCTGATCTACCCCGTCTTACAGTGCAGCCAGAACCCCGCCGTGATCTACCCCGTCTTACAGTGCAGCCAGCACCCTGCCCCGATCAACGCCGTCTATAGTGCAGCCAGAACCCTGCCCTGATCTACCCCGTCTTACAGTGCAGCCAGAACCCCACCGAGATCTACCCCGTCTTACAGTGCAGCCAACACCCTGCCCTGATCAATGCCGTCTATAGTGCAGCCAGCACCCTGCCCTGATCTACCCCGTCTTACAGTGCAGCCAACACCCTGCCCTGATCTACCCCGTCTTACAGTGCAGCCAACACCCTGCCCCAATCCACCCTGCGCTCTTCCCATGGCCCGGCCTGTGGGCCCGAGAGGGGCCAGATATACCCCCAGAACAGCCGGTGCTGATTTCTCCCCTCCCCCTCCCAACACCACTTGACTCTACCTCAGATATGAGGCTCCCCCAACCCTCGTGCACCTGTCGTCTGTGATGCATGCCGTCCTTAGTACTGTATTCCAAAAATCACTAATAAAGGACACCAGTGGAGAAAGAATTCAGCTTTGGCTTGTTTCTTTCCTGGCATTAACCAGTATGAGAAGCAGGGACTGGGGTCCCTCTGTGGCAAGAGCCGCCAGCTCTGTCCTCTGGTGGCACTGCTGTGTGTCCCTCCTGACTCACCCCACAGGGGTCTGCAGCTTGCCTTCTAGCCCACGCACTCCTGTGCCCACTCTGCCGAACAGAGCCACAGAGTTTCCATTCGATTGCCGACCACTGCCATGTCCAGGTGCTCCATGGTTGGCACAGATGCCCTGTGCCCTCATCCAGTTTCCTCTTCCCCAGAATTTCTTTCAGGCTCACCCTTACTTCTGCAGAGCCAGTGGCCACTTTTCCCACATAGGCGCTGTGGGTCTGTGTCTCTGCTTCTTGCTCATGTCCCACTTACTTTGTATGCCTGGTTATCTGACACATGCTCATTCTACCCTTGAAAGGGCACTGTGGGGTTTTCTAGACAGCCTAGGATGGCAGCTCCTTCCACTCAAGGGTGCAGGCTTCAAGGACAGTTGGTCCCAGTGTCTCTCTGTGCCCTCAGTAGGACACCGAGGGTCATGACCACCTTGTGTGTGTGTGTGGGGGGGGGGGGAGGCTGTGTGTTAATGCCACTCGGGTGAAAGTCACACCACCACTTGAACAAGCCAGGAGTGGGTACAGCCTCTGCAGGCATCTCTAGGCAAGGCCGCTTTTCTCCCAGGATACCTCTGATCTGATGTTTGCAGGTTTGCAGATGTGAGAGTGGGATGGGGCAGGTTCAGCCCAGGAGGGTGGGTGGAGGGAGAACCCGCTGCTGGGGTCGTCCTTTTCTGTGCTTTCCAAATTTAGCTTTCCTATTTTTAAATTGCAAATGGTGAACTGCCGACACCCTCAGCTGGGATCAAAGTCAATCTTTTGAATGTTCTTTGGAAGAAGACGTTTGAAGAAAGCAGGGGAAGCAGGGGACACGCCCACCCTCCTGCCCAGGAAGCCAGCTTTGGGAAATACAGGGGCAGAGTGCACCAGCTCCTACAGGAAGAAAACAAACCCTAGGGATGACACTAGGAAGCCACCACAGGAGAACTCCTGGAGAGCCAGGACTGTTCCCCTTGCCCTGAGTCAGAGCATGAAAGATTCAGATGGTGTCTGTCTGTCCTTGTCACACCAACAGGTGACTATCTTCTACCCTCACAGTCCGTAAAGGTCCACTGTGTAGATGACAAAGCAGAGGTTGAGAGATGCCAATTCCCACACCATGAGGGGACAGGCCCAGAGACTAACCAAGGCTCCACGATCCAGTTGTCCCAGGGACATGGTCAGGAGAGGGCTGGGCACTGAGGTAGACAGGGGAACCCTTCACAACCAACTGCTAGCCATCCTGGAAAAGCCAGGTGACCAGAGCCAACTGGTGATGACACCAGCACTGCAGTGGGGACAGTGAGCAGAAGATAGCTTGGGGAGGGTAGAAACCTTGGAAGGGGGCTGCCAGAGGAAGACAGCCAGTGGGAGAGGCTGGAGAAGGCTGGGTCTCCCTGCCTACGGTGTTCTAGTTCATTCATAAAGACACCAGGGAGGCCACCAAGTTCTTTGGGGGAGCACATCAGACCACTGGTTCATGGTGGGAGCTATTGATCATGCTTCCCATCTGCCTGGGCACGGAGTCCTAGTCTAGTATGGCTTGAGACGGAAGCCAGCTATCTAAAGCTCTCCATGAGGCTTGTCAAGCGGGAAGGAAGGAGGCAGCTCCTGCCAGCAGTCTCCACTGAGATTAAATCTGGACCGTGCTAAAACCCATGCAAAAGGGACAGCAACAGCAGGAGGGGCTCCCACCAGCCCGCAGCCTGCCACAGCAAAGCCTAGAATGAAAGGTAGCCCAGTATCCAGCCTGAATGGGCTCAGTTCTACCCAGCAGCACAGATCCACGTATCCAGAACACCCACTGCAGGTGGGCCCCATGCTGTTCTTCTGGAGGAGAAACTGAGACACCGAGTGACCACACAGCTTACCTAAGATCATACAATAATGAAGGGAATATAGGCACACTTCAAATCTGACTGGTCCCAAAGCCTGACAGGCTACACAGAAGTTATTCGTTGAACACTTATGAGCCAGGGACACAAGAGGACACAAGCTCTGCCCAGGGGGCTTACTCCATACCTGAGCACAGCACAGCACAGCACAGCACAGCACAGCACAGCTTGGTGTGGCATGGCATGGCACAGGGTGGAACCCAGCGTTTGAGGGAGAAGGACCCTGTGTTGCTCCCCTGCAGACCCCTTAATGAGGAGAGGGTATGCCTATGGGGAAAGGACAGCAGCCTAGGGTCAGAATGGTGGGTACAATGGCCCCGAGGCAGCCGAGCACAAAGGAGGCAGCCATTGGCTTGGGGAGGAGGAAAGCTGGGCTGACCTACTGTGGCAGGAAAGACACAGGAGCTTTAGGATATGCCCTAGCCCAGGGCCCTGACCTGCTTCCCCTGGTAGGGGTGCCCCTCCATGCCTTGGACACTAAATTAAACATCTTCACACAGCACCTCTGGGCCACCTCTGGCCCTCAGACTTGGGTACTCAGTATGACCATACTCCTTCAGCTCCCCAGTACATTTTCAGGCTGCCCCCCATGACTTCTGGCTTCACAGACGAGGAACGGAGGCAGAAGGGAAGGAAGGGGACAGGTCTTGACCGGGACTAGATTGCAGAATGGAGTAAGGTATGAAGCCACAAACCCCTCTGCCAAATCCCAGGCCTCCTTCTATCTTCTCATCCCCCCTCCCTTTTCCTCTCCTCCCCTTCCTGTCTCTTCCAAACACTGTGGGACCCACCCCAACCTGTAAGTGAGCTCCTGGGCCATTGGACAGTCTCAATTACAATTCTGGTAATGGTTGAGACTCATGGGCCTCCCAGGTCACCAGGGAGTGACCTGGTGTCACTTTTAGTCTACCTAGTCACTATTCTATTGCTGTGAAAAGACACCATGACCACGGCAATTATTATTATTATTAAAAAAAAAAACATTTAATTGGGCCTTTCTTACAGTTTCAGAGGTTTAGTCCATTATCATCATGATGCAGAGCATGGCTGCATGCAGGCGTGGTGCTGGAGCAGTAGTTGAGGAGTTCTACATCCTGATTGGAAAGTAGAGAGAGAGAGAGAGACTGGGCCCAGCCTGGGCTTTTGACAAGGCCACACTCCCTAATCCTTGTAATCCTTTCAAACAGTTCCACTAGACAGTCAACTAGATGAGCCCATGGGGCCCATTCTTATTTAAACCACCACACTTCCTAACCCAGCCCAGTCAGTCCCTGAAGGTGCTTCTGGGACCCTGCTTGTCCTCATCACTCCTTCCAGGACAGACACTTAGCTGTGGCCAGCACAGACCACCTACCTGGCAGTGGGCAAGCAGCAGAGTAGGGGACCAGAGATGGATGGCGCATAACACAACTATTGATGTGTAAAAAGGGAGCAGGTGAGTGTCCGGGACCTGTGGAGCTCCTACACAGAGCTCCTGGGCAGACCCAAGCCAGAGCCCCCACTGTCCCGAGGATAAAAACTGTAGGGACCAGCAGGTGACAGCCCAACCTGAAGTCCCCTACCTGTAGTGAGAAGGCAAGGGGACACTGCTGATAGTGTGTTCGTTGCTGAAAGGACATTAAGAAAAACTACAGAACACTCTGTATTGATTGGGCATCACCAGCCACTTGGCCAATGCCTTTACTAACGCAGTCCTCACACACTGAGATGGCTTCTCACCCCCATTTTCCAGAGGAGTCAGTGTGGCTCAGCAGGCAGCAGAAGCAGCCTCTTAAGCACTGGCCTAACCTCCAGCCAACTTCAGTGTCGCCTGCTCAGGAGGAGGGCCTTTGTTTCCAGTCAGTGCCAGATCTTGATGTCTCCTCCCCAGGAGCAGGTGCCAAGGACGGAAGGCAGCACAGGGTGGTAGGTGGTGCCGAGGCAGGCCTGCGTGTGCCCTTGCAGCGTGCATGCCCGGCTGGCAGTGCGAAAGCTGAACATCAGAACGCGGCCGTCAGCGCTGCCTGTCACCAGCAGGTCGCCACACGGGGAGCACTCGCAACCCACCGCATAGCCTTCCACCTGTGGAGAAAGAGGCAGAGTGGGCTACCAGAGAGGCTGTGACCCCACACTACAAAGGATGGGCAGACGCCAAGAAGCTGACGAGCACAAAGTTGGCTTTACACTTCATGACCCTGAGGCCAAAGGCTGAGCTCCTGCTGTGAGGCTTCAGGGGGCCGGTGTGACCTGGTGTCCCCAAGGCCACTGGGCCTAGCAGTCATGTCAAACCCATGTGCTGTAGGTCTCCAGGACAGTCATCAATGCCCAACACAAATTGTAAACTCACTTAAAAACAGTCTGGGTGTGTAGCTCGCCTGTAGAGCAAGCACTACTGTGAGCATCACAGGTGGCAGCACCTGGCCATAGTGTAATGAACCCAGATGCAGCAGTTTCTGCAGAGCTGGGGGCTGGCACCAGTGAGTCCCCAGCCTCTTCCAGCCCAGCAAAGTGGGCCTCAGGCAGGAAAGGGTCACACAGAGAAATGGCTCCCAAGTCTAGCCTCCTCTGTTCCTGTGCCCACCCCCCATGACTTGTGAACTGGCATGCTCTCCTGCCCTGTGGCTAGGCACTAGATGTGGCCTGAGCCTTGAGGGGACCCTTGCCCACACAGCCAGCAGTCATCCACTTAAGCAGCAGAGGGCCCAGAGGATCCACATGCCCTGAGGTCCTGGTGCTGCCTGGATGGAAGCTTCAGGGCCAATGGCCAGCATTTGACCTCAGTGGCAGAGATGGGGTACCTTATGACCTTCGTAGCGTCGCCGTCTGCTCATCCGATAGGGCCACACGGAGGAGAAGAGTGCCAGGTAGTTGCCATTGGTTTGTGCCAGGAACACGGGCTCCCTCGGATGCAAGGCGAGGCTGGGGCAGGTGTACCTCTCCTGAGAAAGGAGGACCACGGAAGGGTGACTAGGGGTTTCTGCCTCCCACAGATCCTCCGAACTCAGCTCTTGGGATTTTGTCCCCTTCTCCTAGGCCTTGGTTTGGCAGTCTGTATGGACTGCTGTTACTACAACAAGCTACCTCACACTCGGGAGCCTTAACACAACACCGTTTTAGTGTGCTGCTCTGCGGTCTGAAGCAGGTCTCAAGATGTCGACATGCTATACCCCTTCTGCAGAGCACTCAAGCGGGGAGGGGTCTCATTTCTTTACTCCTTTCCATTTTGTAGTATCATCTGTGAGCCTGTGGCAAACTGGAAAATGCCCCCAATATAATATATAAAGGTACTTGAGACAGGGTCTCACTCTGCAGCCCTGGCTGATCCGGAGCTCAGTATGTAGACCAGGCTGGTCCCCAGACTTAAAAAGATCATCGTGCCTCTGCCTCCTGGGTGCTGAGATTAAAGGTACGTGCTGCCACACCCAGCTCTAAGACTGTCCTTAAGCCTGAGACTAGATCTCTACAGTTTCCCGACAGCCCCATTGGCATAGCTGGGTGATGAGCTGGCCTCCTAATGAGGCATCCTGGAAGAGCACTCACTTGTCCCTGAGCCTGTGGAGGCAGAGAAGAGGCAGCGGGTGGCCACCTGCCTCGTGCCTCACTCTGTGAGGTTCTCTGAGGCATGAGGCTCTCAGAGGTCAAGCCCGCTCTCTAGTTCCTCCTGGTGCTCAGGTTCACCTGGAATCCACTGAGTGGAGGGACAAGGCCGAGAAGAGGTCTAGATGCACTCATGGTCACACCTGAGACCAGGCCCAGGACACCCAGGAGACCAGTAACAGCTTACCTAACCAAAAGAAGGTGATAGTAAGCACATATGGTGATGGCAGTGCTGACCATGACCATGATTTCCATAGAGATGGTGGTGGAGTTGGTGCTGGCAATCAGTGATTGATAGTGATGGTGGTGGTGGTGGAATTGATGGTGATAATCAGTGATTGATGGTGATGTGGTGGAGATGGTGGTGATGGTAGTGTTGGTGGTGGTAATCAGTGATTGACAGTGATGGTGATGGAGATGGTAGTAGTGGTGGAGTTGGTGCTGGTAACCAGTGATTGATGGTGATGGTAGTGGAGGTGGTGGTGGTGATGGTAATGATGGTGACGGTAGAGATGGTGATGCTGATCACGACAATGTGGTGATGGTAGTAACCGCAGTGACAGTGGGAGTGGCAGAAGTGATAATGAGGGTGATGGAGACGGTGATCACAGTGATGGTGAAAATGGTGACGGTAGTGATAGTAGTGATAACGGAGATAGTAATGCTGATGATAGAGATGGTGATGGCAGCAGTGGTGATCACAGCAATAGTGAGGTTGGCAGAGATGACGCTGGCAGGTTGGTAACAACAATTACACCGTTATGGAGGAATCTCTGCGGCCGACTGTTAGATCTTCATACGCATTCTCCTTCTCTAATTCTTAGGACTCCATGAGGTGGTATTATCAAAGCCATGGGTGGCTGCACCAGAAAGGGCAGTTTGCAGAGGCTATCCTCTGTTGAAGCAGGCCTGGACCTGACCTATGCCTACCCCTGCTCCAGGTATTTCAAGTAGGTGATCTCCTCCCCAAGGCAGAGAAGGGCCCAGGGCTACAGGAATATCCCCTGTGGCTGACACCAAGAACAACGCTCCACAGGGCTTCTCACATGGAAAATTTGGTTGGAGATCTTGGCAGAGGTCCGGAAATCCCAGGCAATGATGGTTCGGTCAGCAGAGTCCCGAGTGGATGCGTCAGTGCTGCTTAGGAACTCAGAGCCTTCCTGGAGGAAGAGGATGTCCAGGGTCTGCTGGATGGTGGCCTTGTAGCCTCTCACCACCTGCAAGAGTGGACACTAGTCCTCATGGCGGCCCTGGGAGCACACGGAAGGTGCCCACACAGCGAGAGCGCCCGGGACAGTTATGGAGTACTCAGGATGCACAGGGTTAATGAAGCTGTTGGGGGCTGTACACACTCTGAGCAGCCCCGACACATGTGCTTTCACGGAACTTTCCAACCTCACTGGGTCATATCTGTTGCTCTAGGGAGCCTCGGGCCTCCCAGATGAAAGCTGGCCTGATGACTGTGCCCACGCCACTTCTGTTAGTACATGGGTGGGGCCAATGAGATGCAGCTGCTTCCTGGGATGACAGGGTCCCTCCACAGCAGCTGTCCTTTGGGGAAGGTGCTCCCACCTTGCCCTCAGGTGCCTAAGGAGCAGAGTGCTATCCAGCAATAATGGGGTCATGCTTCTGAGAGGGACAGACAGTGTCACATAGCTCACGGCTACAAAGCCTGGACTACTGTCCCCAGGTGAGTGACAACGGCACGGGGAACAAGGGTTCTTGGAGGCTGACAATAACACCAGCATCTCTAATCTCAGAATGTAGTTACCTTTTCATTTTTACTTTTGTTTTCTGGAACTTGCTGGCCTTGAACTCGTGGAGGCCCACCTGCCACCCAGCAGAATGCATTTTACATTTAAAGATATGCTTTATTCTCTAAGGCTCATCACCAGTGTTTCACAGCCACCTGTCCCCCAAGCGAAGGGAACCAAGCGCCTAGCCCTGCCACTGTCTTCAGTGCACCATACCCAGCTCCCGCGCTGACATGCCTGCTGTGGGCAGGGGTGGGGCCCAGCACAAGGCTCAGATCGCCTCCGCTGAGTAAGCTCTCACATGGCACAGCATGGCGAGATGCCAGCTGCAATACTGCAATGGCCACCCACTGCTGTCGGAAAGGAAAGCATAGCCAGACTCCAACCGGCCCACCGGGACCTGGCCACGGGGTTATCAGCTCCCTGGGCGCCACCATGTGGCTACAGCAGACACACAGTTCGGGGGTCATCCGTTCCATTGGCTAACAAATGAGGGACATTCACACGGCCATGTGAGGGCAAGCCTCTCCTCTCCCAGCCCTTCCCTGGGGGCTCACAACTAGGTTATCTGCTGGCCAGTTCCTGCCTCTTCACACATAGCCTTCTACTGAAGTGACATCAGGGTCTCCCCCCTCCACCCCACCCCCACATGCCCTGAAGAAGAGAGGCCATCTCTGCAGAGCCATCAAGGCAGGGCAGGGTGACAGACAGTCTGCCCCTCACAGATGCTCACAGCAGCTCCTCTAGCAACAGGAACTGCCTAAGTTCTTGTGTGTCACCCCGAAGACCAGGACTCATGGGCATAGTTCCATAGGGTAGCAGGGAAGAGCTCCAAGCAGCCAGGGCCCACACTGCTTGCTGAGATATGTGCCAGCTAGGTCTGAAGCTGAGGCAGTGCCTAGGACCTGGAAGAGGACAGGGCATTTCACAGTCCCTGAAGCCTGTCCCACACGCTTACACAACACGCAGTGTTCAAGCACAGTGCTGGCCACTGCGGCCTTTGCAGTTTGCTGGTGGGCAGAGAGGTCTGGAAGCAAACAGAGGGCTCACCTCGGCTCTGGAGTCTCTTCGCTGGGCCTGTACACCCCCTAAGCAATTTGCAGTTCGATCCCACCACCTTTAAACCCGTTCTCATGTGTCACTTGGCACTGCTGTGGCCATGCCAAGACACCTCCATTCCCCCTTCTCCTGTATCTCTCTCCATCAAGGCAGACTAGGTTGCAAGGCAGTCAAGAGATAACTAGGAAGAAGAGTAGATGCAGACCGAGAACTCTCACCTCTAGACGTATCTCTGGAAGTGGCCCATACTCTTCCCCCTGGTGCATGCATGTCCTCCAGCTCACAGAGAACAGCAGTGAGTGGGCACATGTGTGCCCTGGGATACATGTGGCCTTTACATGATGGTCTCTGAAGCCTCCTTGGGCTATGCAAGGGTGAGGCCAGGAAATGATGGAGGCACCCGGGTCTCTCCCTGTATTTTCTAAGTCAACACAACAGCATGGAAGTGCCCTCTCTCAGAAAGACATACCTAGGGACCATCAGCCACCCATGACAGAACTACCTGTACCCTGCACCTTCCAAGTAAATGTTACCAGGACAAAAGGCATACATCTTCTCAGGATGGCTAGAAATGGCCCAGTTCATTAGGGCATCATAAAGGCAAATGGCTGGGAAACACGCCGTATTATGGACGAACCCTGCCAATGAAGCACAGCTGTGGGCAGGAGGCTGGCCTTCTGAGTGCTCATCACCAAGCATGACAGACTTTCCTTCCCGCTGTGACATGCCCTGTGGATCAGACAAGCCATTTGTGCAACTGGCTGGTGAGTTTTACGGCAACCTTGATTATTACCCTGGCAGCTGGCACACCCTAACCCAGGACCGGAGCCAAGGAGGACAGCCTCCACTGGCAACCGCAGGCCCACTGGAAAAACTGGCCTTGGGGAAGATAGAGGACAGCTCGTGCCATATCTGGATAATGAAGACCACCTGTGGCCAATCAGCCTGGCCTCCACTGTACTGTTAATTCAACAAAGGCGCAGCTTTGCCTCTTTTGGGCCCCTGGCTCTCACAGATTTCATGAGCTGCTACAACGAGGTTCTGGCCCTGGCCCAGGTCTCTGCTCCCAGATTGTTCCACTTCCGTGATAACAGGCATATGGGCTTCTTCGAGTGTAAGATGTGACAGTCTATACATGCCAGCTCTAGCATGGGTACAGGGCTTGTCTCTAAGATTGAGACAGTCACATAAGCTTTGGTAGTGACCACTGAAGTGTCTGTAGACATTGGAGAATCAACAAAAAATTTACATTAATAAAAGAAAGGAAACCATATAAATATGAGAAGAAAAACATGGCTGGATCCTCTGTGGGCCTTGGGCTACGGCTCTGGAGCCAGGAGCAGTGAGAGAAAAGCCAGTCAGACTGACCAAGTTAACAAGTAACTAACATGACCCACTCATAGGCAGAAAACGAGCAGATAAGCAGCGAATGAGTAAAGGAAAGCCAAGTGGGGGAGGCATTTGTAATGTGTATTAGATGCAAAGGGTACCATCTGCAACACTAGCAGCTTCTGAGACGAGACGAGGCAAGACGAGAAAGCCAGAGTTCCACAGAAGCCGACGAGAGGACGCAGCTCATCAACAGGGAAATGGCTTCGACCTTGCTCATAACAAGAGCAATTTAAGCAAACTTAAATGTCATCCCTTGCCTATTAAATGAGCAAACTCCCAGAGTCTGACAGCACCTCTGTTGGGTGGTGTCAAGGTGTCGGACAGCTATAAGCTGCTGGCAGACATGCACAGACCCTGCGAGGAGGGGCGAGCAACCCCAAGCAGCACTAGAGATGTGCTGGTGCTCTGCTGCCCACGGCCCACCCCACAGCCAAGAACTGGTCATAGAGCTGTGCTGACAGGGCGCCAAGATGTCAGCACTGTGTCAAAGACAGTAAAGAACCAGAAAGGGCCCAGCAGACGCCTCAGAAAGCACAGTGAGGACATGGATACTGCCGTGCTCGTCTGAGCCTGTCTCCAGAGCCCCGTACGGGTTCAGAGCCTTGTTGCAACCTTGCGCTGAGGGTGACTGGCCAGTGTGTGTGCTAGTGTTGACATCATTAGGAATAGCCAGGTGTGGTGGAGCCATGCACAGTCTCAGCACTTGGGAGGAAGAGAGGGGAGGATGTGAAGTTCAAAGTCATCCTTAGCCACACAGTAAGTTTGAGGCCAGCATGTGACACTTAAGCTCCCATTTAATAAATAAACTAATAATAGAAATTTAAGCTTAAGTAGAAATAAGCATTCTTCACCAGCAGAGGAAGTGAGGGACAAAATGGGTGAGATGGGGCTACCAGGAGAATGTGAGTCATGTCCTGCGGGCTGGAGAGACAGCATACAGGTTAGGAGCACTCACTGCGCTTCCTGAAGACCTGGACGCAGTTCTCAGCAGCCACAGCCCCCTCATTAGCATCCACGTCACATCCAGCCATAAGTCCAGCTCCAGGGACTCCAACACCTCCTTCTGGCCTCCCTGGGGGCTTGCACACATGTAGCATACATACATATACACACACATTTTAAAAATAAAAAACCTTTTTAAAAAAGATCTAACTTGGGCTGGATACATGGCTCGGAGATTAAGAGCACTGGCTGCTCTTCCAGAGGTCATGAGTTCAATTCCCAGCAACCACAAGACAGCTCACAATCATCTATAGTGAAATCTGGTGCCATCTCCTGGCATACAGGTGTACATGCAGGCAGAACATTGTATAAATAATAAATTAAAAAATCTTTAAAAAAAAAAAAAAAAGATCTTACTTGGCAAATTTCACCCACAAATAAGGGTCATTGATGGTAAGCAGCTTAGGTTTTATGGACCATGTATTAAAAAAAAAAAAAAGACACTCTTGCAGCGAAGATGTGTGGGGTGTGTGTGTGTGTGTGTGTGTGTGTGTGTGTGTGTGTCCATATTAGAGTTGATTACAGACATAAAACCCACTTTTAGCTCAGGGGCCATATAAAAATAGGTCATAGGCCAGATGGGGCTTGTATGCTCTGGTTGCCAACTCTTTCTCTAGATTCATGGACATATTTTATTAAATTAAATTATACTACAAAATTAACTTAAAAAGCAATTTTTAAAATGTGAAGGCATAATTAAGCAAATCAAATTAACCAAGTATTGATTTGGTAGGTTAACCGCACAAATAGGATTGCTTTTAAGAGAGTTTAAAGCACGATAATTTAATGGCAGCTCCTTAGTTGAATACACGTTATTAATGGAAAACCAGCAATCTGACATTAGTCCTAAGTGGATCTACATTGTGAACAACAACAAAAAGAACCTATAAGAAGGTTAGCGCATTTTCCAGCCATCCACTGCTAATACCGAAAGAGGGTCAAGATAAACGGAAATAAAAATTTCCCACAAAAAGTTTAAAATAAACATTAAGTAAAAGAAAAAAAGTCTG